TCGTCTTTCGGCATTTGGGGTGCTCTGTGGCCTGTGTTCAATCGTGCAGCCATGGCTTGTATCTGGTACGGAGTGCAGGCTTGGATTGGAGGAGAGTGTGTTCAATTGATGATCGCTGCAATTTGGCCATCGTGGCAGCCCAATGGCAAGATTCACAATGGAATCCCTAATTCTGGAACAAACACTGTGATGTTTGTGTCATTCTTCCTTTTTTGGTTTCTCTCGCTTCCAGCAATTTGGTTTCCGGTCCACAAAATTCGTCATTTGTTTACAGTTAAAGCATATGTGGTACCAGTTGCAGGCCTCTCATTCTTCATCTGGGCTATAGTTCGCGCAAAGGGTCTTGGACCAATCGTCAAACAAGGAAATACAAGCCATGGAAGTGCGTTGGGCTGGGGAATGGTCACTGGAATTATGTCTTCCATCGCCAACTTCGCAACTCTCATCGTTAACGATCCCGATTTCGCACGTTTTGCACGAAAGCCTAGGGATGCTTTCTGGTCGCAACTCATCACTATCCCTGTCGGTTTTGCCGTCACATCTTTCGTTGGCATTATTGTCTCCTCATCTTCAACCGTCATCTTCGGTGAAGCCATCTGGAATCCCCTCGATCTTCTCCAATCATTCTTAACCGAAGGAGGGTCCGGAAATCGCGCCGGTGTATTTTTCATCGCAACTGCATTTGCTCTCGCCCAACTCGGTACCAATATCGCAGCCAATTCCGTATCTGCAGGTACGGATATGACAGCTCTCCTACCCCGTTACATCAATATCCGTCGCGGCGGTTATGTTTGCGCTCTCGTCGGTCTCGTCATGTGTCCTTGGAATCTTCTCTCAACCTCCAACAACTTCACCACCTATCTGTCCGCTTACTCCGTCTTCCTTTCTTCCATTGCTGGTGTCATCATCTCAGATTACTACTTCGTTCGTAAGGGCTACCTGCAAGTTCGAAACCTGTATTCCGCCAAGAAAACCTCTCCATATTACTATACAGCAGGTATTCACTGGAGAGGGTACGCTGCTTACATCGCCGGTATCCTCATCAACATTGTGGGATTCGTAGGAGCAATTGGTAAGAAAGTTCCAATTGGCGCAACATATATCTATAATCTAAACTTCTTCTGCGGGTTTATTGTCGCGTCAAGCGTGTATTGGATTCTATGTAAATTCTTCCCTGTACCCGCTACAAGCGATGTATGGATGGAAGTCGGGGAAGAAATCGATGATCCTAGTATGGCGTATAATGCGGAGGAAGGAAGCGAATTTGAGGAGACGGGCAAAGGTGGACAGGAAAATGTAAAGATCATGGGGAGTGGAAAGAAGAGTGATGTGGATTTAGAGGCTTGAGATTTGAGAGATCTCCGTTAGTTATTTGATTTTTGGGTTGGAATTTGAGCGTGGGTGTTTAGAGGTCATGAATTGTACCTGTGTATGCATGGATTGACATAGCATTATGAAATTATGAGACTCATGGAAAATCATCGGTGTAAAGGTACCCATGAGGTAGAGTGTAGATAGACGATAGAGGGAGTACCTATGAATCGCTACCTTGACTCGATTTTGAATTTGCTCCAGAAGTCTCATTTTAATTTGATGTATACTGGTGAACGAGTACTGGATTGATTAGCTTACCTACCTAGGCAGTGGGGTTTCTCAATCATTGGTCCAATTTGTTTCGTATACAACAATCTCAATATGGATAAATCCATTACAAGTAGGTGGGTATCGTACTTTCATCTTGTTCTTCTTATACTTTTTTGAAATTGTTTCATTGAAATTGAGGTGGTTGAGAGCCGGCGGTCCGTCTACTCCGTCTAGAATATGAATTGTGTCATTTCAAATGTTAGTTAGTATCTATCTGATTGCAAGTAAAAGAATAATTACTATGTAAGATCTTATTAGATACTTGTATATGTATTAGATACTTGTATATGTATGGTACGACGTGTATAATCAGTCTACACTACGGAGATTTTCAGACGGGAAATTGCAATGGGACTCAAATTTTAATGAACAATGGCGACAGCTTGCTAGGAAGATGAAGAAGTTCATTCATAATTGCCGGTGCGGGAGAACCGGGGTAAGTGTGGGGAAGAGGCGGAATGGACTCCCGGTGATCCTGGTGAAGTTTGTCTAGGTGAAACATAGGGTTTCTATTGGCCTCCCGGTGAACTTTGTTCCTGAAATTCAAGAATGGGGATGTTAGAAGTTACTGATCAGCGTCGTGAAGAACAAGTATGCATTTCTGCTCATTTTGATCTCCATGTCAAAAGTCTTTCGTGATCTATAAAATGGTGTTTTGAGAAAGTTAAGATAGAAGTACATAAAACAAATACTCGTATATGATATCAAAGTCCCAAGAGTCTGAGAAACAGTGACGTCATTGACGTGGATGCGGCCGCCTGCCACATCGCATATAGCTACATTCCTTAAACACGACATTCAATCCAACTTCAACGCGACAATGTAACATCAGTCAGTATGTGTGGAAGATACGCTCTACACCTGGTAAGTTATAAGAAATAACTGGTTGGTAAAAAACTTGCTGATATTATAAAGCGACCTTCAGAGGTCCGTCAATATCTCGAAAATGAGAACATGCCGGTTGAGGAAGCGCCAGATGATGAAGGTGATGGCACACCGAGGCAAAGCTATAATTTTGCGCCGGGGTATCATGGCATCGTTTATCGGGCTAATGTACCGGATTGGGGTGCGGGATCGAGACATCATAAGGAAGGTGTCGATGAGACTGAAAAGAGATCCGCCACCGAGCCAGAAACTACCAAACTGGATGTGACTGAGCAAGAAGAACTTACGAATGAGGCAGTTCAGTATAAACTCCAGAGTATGAAATGGGGCCTGATACCATTCTGGACGAAGCGTAACCCGGATTATGGATCGATGATGAAAACTATCAATTGCCGTGACGATTCTTTGATTGAAAATCGAGGAATGTGGAATACAATGAAGCAAAAGAAGAGGTGCGTTGTTATTGCAGAGGGATTCTATGAATGGTTGAAGAAGGGAAAAGAAAAGGTTCCTCATTATATCAAGAGAAAGGATGGTCAGCTATTGTGCATGGCAGGGCTTTGGGATGTCGTTCAATATGAAGGCTCGGATGATAAACTTTATACCTACACCATCATCACAACAAGTTCGAATAAACAGTTGAATTTCCTACATGAAAGGATGCCAGTAGTTCTTGACAACGGTTCAGAAGATCTCCGCACTTGGCTTGATCCGAAAAGATCATCATGGACAAAAGAACTTCAATCTCTCCTAAAGCCATATGAAGGAGAATTAGAAATCTATCCAGTTGTCAAGGAAGTGGGAAAGGTGGGCAATGATTCTCCTAATTTCATTGTTCCCGTAGCAAGCACGGAAAACAAGTCCAATATTGCCAATTTCTTTGCTAAAGGGGGGAAGAATGACGCAAAGGCATCATCTAAGCCATCATCTAAGCCTTCGCATGCAGACGCACTTCGGAAGATCAAAGAGGAAGAAACAAAAGATACACCAATTAAGGAAGAGCATACAGATACAGATGGTCGCAGAACTATCGATCACAATGGGTCTGAGGATAATGCGCCATTACCAGTGCCCAAATCAGAGAACAAACATGGAATAAAACGCGAGCTTGACAATGTTGATACTGAAGAGCCGCCCAAAAAATCAATGCGCGTTTCTGCAAGTCCAGAAAAAGATTCTCCGCCTGTGGCGTCAAATAGGAAGACCAGGAGCGCTACCAGCAATAATTATGGAAGCCCGAAGAAATCTTCTGGTCAGGAAAAGGGAAGTCAAAAGATCACGAATTTCTTTAGCAAATGAGGTTAATAGAGGCTTCACTGCAACTTGACTCAGGAGGTACCTGAACGGGGCGAGATGGAATGGAATTTTGTGCAGGTTATTTACCGCAACTCGGTAACTGAAGATCGTGTTATGGATTTGGCAGGTAACTCGGTACGTCTAAACGTATCGATTCCTGCGCCAAGAATTAATTCGAGCATTTCCCCTTCCACACACGCCATTTCTAAGTTCGGCGAATTAATGGAGCTGCAAGATGGTCGATCCTTACAGGCGGGTAATAATGCTAATGCTTTTTTCCACAACCTAACTAGGTCATGAGACGTTGCACAACCTTACTGAAGTTATTGTGCAACCGAATCTCAACCTAAACTTTCTCAAAGAACACATTGTTCATGAAGGATAATATGTATAGAGTACAATCTATTTCGAACTTGCGGAAGCAAATATACACCGCCGGTGTAGCTTTTGTTGCTATCATTATAGTTTTCCTGTACGGAACTAATTTTCCACGTATGGCCAAAAATGAAAGTCGCCATTTCGATACATGATGATGCAGCTACTAATTCACAGAACATGTGATGCAAATAACCGTTCAGTTCGTATTTGTCTAGAGGAGTTCTATTGAATGTCGCACATGCACCCCTAATATTGCGGGGTCCCCAGATTTCTAAGCGTGCTAAATCGTCTATGGACGGAAAATCTACGAGTGTACAGACCCACCAACCTAAGTGTTAAATAAGCTTCATCTATGTTGCTTGGCGTGTACAAAGCTACCTTGATGCGCACTTTCTTGGCTCGCTCGATGTCGTTTGACTTTGCTGGATGAAACAAGAGAGAGGAGTGTTGTTGTTGTATTGTGATGAGGAAGATTCTTCATTCGTGGAATCGAATGTGTCTGGAAGCGCCGTCGATCGTGAGCAAATTTGATGAGCGTCACTGGATACGTTTTCCGTGCTGAAGGGTTTCCGTGAAGATTTGCACGGCTGCGGTTGTACTGACATCGAATAGACTCAAATCTCGTTTGACGATATGGGGGTTGAACGAGAAATCAAAAATATATAAAGGAGAAACAGATTCCACGAGATTCTCATTCTTCACAAATCACTCAACTCAAGGCAAAGAAACAAGTTGGTAGCTCTACAATCAATCTTTCGAATCGGTCTTTCTGCAACAAATTTTCTGAATATTTAAAAATGAAGCTCTCCATTCTCTCCACAGGACTCGCAGTCCTTGCACAGTTTGTCTCTGCTGCCCCAACACCAACTGAAGGTGATGCTATTGCTGAGCGTGCAAACATCGCTAAGAGAGCTTCTATCACCGATGTTGCCACTACCGGCTTTGCAACCCAAAACGGCGGGTAAGTGATTCCTCAAAATCGTCTCTGAACCTTTCTAACGATTTCCCAGAACTAAAGGAGGAGCAGGTGGCGCAACCACCACCGTCTCTACACTTGCTCAATTCACAGCAGCAGTAACCAACGACGAAGTTGCAAGAGTCATCGTCGTTAGCGGTACCATCTCTGGTTCTGTCAAAGTTAGAGTTGGATCCAACAAGACGATCGTTGGAAAGAAGGGAGCTAGTATGTTCTCTCCTTGCAAAAACATATTCTAGACAGCACTGATGACTTTCTAGCACTCATTGGAATTGGCCTCTATATCAATAAATCCACAAACGTCATTGTGCGAAACATCATTAGTCAGAAGGTCCTGGCTGCCAATGGTGATGCTATTGGTATTCAAGCAGCAAAGAATGTTTGGATTGATCATGTGTTCGTGCTTCAAAAATCTAGAGCAAAAATCAAAACTAATTTATTCCCCAGCGATGTCTCCTCCGATCTCACCCACGGCAAAGACTACTACGACGGTCTCATCGACGTCACCCACGCCTCCGACTGGGTCACCATCTCCAACTCATACATCCACGACCACTTCAAGGCATCTCTCATCGGCCATTCCGACAACAACGCTGCTGAAGATACCGGACATCTCACCGTCACTCAACACAACAACTACTGGTCCAACATCGGATCCCGCACTCCATCTTTCAGATTCGGAACCGGACACGTATTCAACAGCTACTTCTTGAACGCCAACACCGGTATTGACACCAGAGACGGTGCGCAAATCTTGGTTCAAAGCAACGTTTTCAAGAATGTCAGTGAGCCAATCGCTGCGCTTTACAGTGATGACACTGGGTATGTTTTCCCTTCTCTCTCTTCTCCCCATTATTCCCATCTCCTGGTCAATTTTACTCACACAAAAACAATAGATACGCAAACGCATTCGACAACGATCTCGGCGGATACGCCAACACAGCTCCAGTCGGTACATTGACCACCACTTCCCTCCCATACTCGTATTCCTTGTTGGGTAGCGGAAATGTCGTTGCCGCTGTTGTAGGCTCTGCAGGTGCTACTTTGGCTTTGTAAGCGGGCTTGCGAGCGAGCGTGCAAGCGGGAGAGTTCTGGAGAGGATCTCAGAAAGCGTGGAGAGATTGGAAGATGATGGGATAGCGGGTTACGAGATTTAGGGTGGCTTGGGGAGTGAAGATATTTTTATTCTCGTGGATAAGTAGTTTTTGATGGATGGATGTATGGATGGATGGAGAGAGGGAGGAACGTACATAGTTCAGCAATACGATCGTTATATTCTTCAAAGATGACCTGACCTTTTTGAATTTTCATATTTCATATTTGTGATTGTGTAACGTATGAGCATCGTCTTTCAATTTGGAAATTCATAATCGTAGTTACAAAGTCACAAACAGCGTGCCAGCTACTCCGTTTGCGAAGCTCGGATATCCCCCCTTTTCAAATATTTTTTCATCCTTCGAATTCCATGTAGTGTAGTGTAGAGTAGTGTCGTAGAACGTGGATGGAAAACAAATAATCAGGGGAAAGAAGATACCGTATGTCGCCTCAATTTTTTTTACTATGGGGTAAAGTAAGTACTGTGTGGGATTTCATGTATATTCTTGGGATGTTCAGTGTTTATTTTTTAGGTAAGACATGTAGACATACCTACCTAGGTAGGTATATCACTTTCCTTATTTTGCTTCTGGATGTATAGATAGGTTTTAGGATAACTTATTCACTAAGCGTCTACACGAGTGTAGGTGATATCTGAGTTGAAAGTATGCTAAATCTCTGTTAAGATTTGTAATAGATAGGAGGGCCAGTGGATGAGAACTGGATTCGAGCGATTGAAATAGGGGTTCATTCATGGGATACAATGATTAGCGAATCAACATCTTCACAAATACGAGCGCAAGAGCTGAAGATGAAGATGAATATAAGAATTTGAAGAGGGGGAAAGGAGTATTAATTTTTCTACCCGAGGAACTTTATTTCTATCTGTTCTATCCCATTGTGTCTATCATTCAAGCGTCTCTCCGATCCCAAGCTTTTATCTCTGAAATCCAATCAGTCGATACGTTCCAGCCAGACTCCAAACCCATGTCCCAGTCATAAAACCCGATCTAAAGCCCCTCTTTCGCCAGCATATCCGCAATATCCAAATAAAAAGCAATCGCGTTAAACTTCCTCACATTCCCCGTCAACTCCCACACCAACCACCTCAACCTATTGGTCCAATTGATTAAATCCAAATGACTGACATCCACCAAAGTCCCCTTATAAGTGCCCCAACGACTACTCTCCACACTAACCAACCCATCATTCGGCCCCTCAACTTTTTCCACTATCCCATGACTCTTGCGAAACGCACTCCATAGCTTCGGATCGCAAGACGCCCCATAGCTAAAATAACGCACACTCTCATCATCCGGCGTATTCGGATTAAACTCCTCGCCCATATATTTCCTCGTCAACTGCGTAAAAGCCCCCGTACTAATCCCCACCTCATTCAATTTCTTAATCAACCCCGGTATCATCCCATGCCACCAACTCTCATCGAAACAATAATCCGCAAACGCGCTTCCCCGATGCGGCGTCGCGATCGTCGTCAAACTCAGCACTTCCACATTCGGCGGCTGCAACCGCGATATCATAAACCGTGCATCTAAACCTCCCATACTATGCGCAATAATATTCACGCTCTTCCCATTCGCCTTGGCGGCAATATCTTCCCCCAATGCCGCGGCGCGTTCTTCGATACTACCGGAAGCGGGCACAGAGGCGATAATTACTTCGATGCCCTTTGCGCGAAGAGCATTTGTTATGCCGCGCCAATATTGTACTGCAGGGAGAAGAGTACCCGCAATGCGAACTTCGTCGAAACCGAAGAGACCGTGTGCGAGGACAATTGGATGTTTAGGTGTAGCTAATCTCATTAGTGTCCTGACGTACATTACATCGAGGAGGCATGCGAGGGAAGATACCATAACAATCTCTAATCGTAGCAAAATCATCCTCAATCGCCCTTCCAATATCACTAACCTTCGGATCCGCATCTCTCATATCCTTTTCTATCTCATGTTGTCGAACATTTGACGTATGAATTCCCGCTGCATGAATAAACGACGTACGTGGCTGAGGAATAAGTTTCTGTGAAGTATGGATGGCTGAGTTATGTATTTGTATTTGAGAATCTGTTGTTCGGGTGGAAAGTTTACGAGGGCGGGAAGTATTGAAGGAGAGCATTATAGGTCGTTTGGCTCGTGGTACATTGTGAGATAGACATCTTATCGATGCTACACGAGCGACCGGAAATGTCATAATTGAATATTACACATTGAGTTTGGCTAAAAATCATTGCCATTTTGAAAAGAGTCGAGGTGGAAAGAAGAAGGTGCTTGATAGTGTTCGCGGGGCTAGATTTTTGTTGGTAAAACTAGTGACGTAGATGGAAACATGTGATTGGCCTTGAGGAGCGGAACGGGCCTTTGCTAAAAATAGTCGAATTAGACGCACCTAAAGTCAAGATCAAGATCATTATCATTATCAATATCCACAAGAGGATTGTATAAGATTCGTGGGTATGGAGTCTTTAGCATATTGAGCACATATTCTGAAACATAATTCGAAACAGAGGATATCTTTGTTGTTGAATCGCGAGCTAGTCTATACACAGGTTATCATCAATTGCCTCTTCACCACAACAGTAACTTCGATGTAACTTTCATCATGGCGGAGAACTAATAGTCTTCACTACCACAACCATCTCCCCTTACAATTTCGCATTGCTCGACCTCCCCCCCAAATAAACTCAAGATTGAGTTCCCTATTTTGGTCCTTCAACACGTTCAGGTACAACAGGCTTAACATCGAAGACTGCCTTCAACAGGTCCGATATAACCTGACTCTCCCCCTTCTTGCCTGCTTCCTTGATCTCCTTCAACTTGATCTCAGCATCCTTGTTGGCATCTTCTTCTGCCTTCTTGTTGCCGCTCGTGTGCTAGACCCAACAAGTTAGAACCTCGAATCGTTCCTAGCTAGAGTGCCCTTCCCACTCTCCAGACACAACGTACCTCTGCCTCGAACTTTTTGAACTCATTTTCCTTTTCCTTTCTATACGCATCGATCTCCTTCTTTGCCTCGTCTCTTGCTTCCTTTACACGTTTTGTGCGGTCTGCATCGCTATCAGCATTGCCTCATCCTGCAAACATAGTATCGTCGTAAGTATCAACTCACATTCTCTAGCTGTAGATAGAAACGTTAGTATATAATTTAAACTTTGCCAACATTCTAGGATTCCAACTCACCTTTCTGAACAATCTTCTGCGCATCTCTCTCTGCCTAACCTCTCAATCAGTATCTCCATCCTCCTCTCATCATCCTAGAGCCCAAACATACATCAAGCAACGTCTGAATGCCCGCCGAATTCTGTGCCGACTATCATCTTACAATTAGCAAAGCACTCACAACCCAACCTCCAGCCCATCCATGCCCATCTAACATAACCCCCGATCCAAATCATCGGACTAAACATACCATCTTCAAATCCGACTGTTCTCTGCACAAACAATACAATAAGGTCAAGGTATCTTCTCTTTCAAAAATCAATCGTGTCTTCGAATCGTTATCAGCGTCGCGCAAGAAGAAAGTGGAGAGTTAACGTTGGATTTGGAGTGGTTCAAGCTTAGATAGCTCCAACAGATGCAACAAGCTCTCCTGGTGCAGTGTAGAGACCCCTGTCCGGCAACTTCCGTCTGCGCCTATCGCATCGATTGCAGCTTCTCAATGACTCCACCATTCTAGAAATTTAGATACCCGTCTTGTTCATACTGAACATTATATATTTGTAGACAATTGGAGTTACTTCTCATAATTCTTTATAAGAGGTTCCCAAAAAATCAACTCAATGTCTCGCGCAGCAAAATTAACACTCTTCGGCACTTCACTCTTCGCCGCCGGCACTATAGTCTTCGTACATTATGCGCAGACGGCCGAGAAAGCTGTACGTTCTACCTCTCTATTCCACCTCCGTACCATTTCCAGTCTCAGCTGCACATATACTAAAACAATACACAGGCAATGCACGCAGGCGTAATCCGAGACATGGAACAACAGCGCATAAAAAAAGAGCGCCAGTTAGATTTCGATTTGCAGCGGGCGATGGAAGAAGAATATAGGAAGGTGCAGAATGTTAGTGATGGGACTACGAGGTGATACACCTCTGCGGCTTCAGACGAGTATATATGTTGTGTTTAGGCATTACAAATCATGGTACTCGTTTGAAGAATGAACGAGAGAGAGAGATGTATATTACAAACCTGGGCAACACGGCAACAAAAATTAGGGATCAATATGTATGAGTATGTATGGGAATGAATTGCTGGAGGAAGTCCTAGAGTATGATTGTAGCCACGTATGGCATTATCCAAGGGATATATTAAGTCCTGTACAAATAGGCCATGAAAAAGATTCGATGTGAATTTTGAAGAGAACTTTCACAAAAACAAAAGAGATCAAGTCACACCATCGATCAGATTATCAGTTATTATCTTGTTCTTTATGCGTAAAGAAAAATCTTAGTATGATACAGCAGCACCATTCAATTTCATGATGTGCGCCCAATATAATGCTTTTCTGTGCATCTTCAGCACTATGACGTAGAATATTTGGCAGAATATTTCTGCGAACGAGAAACGCAATCAAACTTCTTCATCCTATGCAAATAATTTGAATGCCCCTTCTTAATGGTCACAATCTTTCTTCCCTCCCAAACGCCACGATATGCAAAGATTTCCCCTGCCACGAAATTCATAGTCTACCCCCATCCAGTCGTAATTAGATCGTACAAAATCAGCGCACCGTAATGCCAGATCTCTTTGTGAACATTCTTGTGGCAATATTCATTGCTGCTAACTCTTGGAAAAGTAATTTAGCGGCGTACGGGATGTGAATTTGGGAAATCTTTGTCTTATTCTTGCAAGGACGACACTCGAAGGAACCGGTATTGATTTTACTATAATTAGGTCAGCATAACTTTTTTTTCTGGATGGCACATAGGCTTACGCAATTGGTGTCATGAGTCCACAGATATCACAGATATGAACTCTGAAAGCATCTGAAACCTCAAACAATCTCTCCTTCAAGAAAGCACTGGCACCGTGAGAAATCATACAATCACGTTCCATCTCTCCGAAACGAAGACCACCATCTCTAGCACGACCTTCCACGGGTTGTCTGGTTAGAATTTGAACAGGACCTCTGGCACGTGCATGAATCTTGTCGTCGACCATGTGACGCAAACGTTGGTAATATGTGGGACCAAGGAAGACTTGGGCCATCATCTTACGACCAGTGTGACCATGGTACATGATCTCAAAACCACGAGAATGGTATCCATGTGCACGGAGAAGCTTAGAGACAGAATCGACAGTGACTTCGGTAAATGGTGTGGCATCACCCTCAAGTCCACGTAGAGTAGAAACCTTACTCAATTGACACTCGATCAAATGTGCGATTGTCATACGAGATGGAATAGCGTGGGGATTGATGATAAGATCTGGAACTACACCCTCTCTAGTGAACGGCATGTCCTGTTGCATATATGTAATACCGATAGTACCCTTCTGTCCGTGACGCGAAGCGAATTTGTCACCAATTTGAGGAATTTTGGTAGTTCTCATTCTGACCTTCACGAATCGGAGACCTTCGGCATTGGTGGTAATAAGTACTTGATCAACAAGACCACTCTCGGTGCTTCGAAGAGGTGTTGATGCATCACGCTTGACATGAGCTTTTGTGCGCTGGCCCATTTCCTCAGAGTCAGGAGCAATTGGTGCAGTCTTTCCGATAATGATATCCGCACCAGTGACACGAACACCAGGAGCCACGATTCCATCATCGTCAAGTTTGTCATATGTACCCTGCTTGAGCTTAAGAGTATCGGATCTATAAGGCTTTTCGAATTGTTCCACAACGTTCATACCAATACGCTTTTCTTGATCGGTGTAGGCTCGATAGAACAAACTTCGAAACAATCCACGATCAATACTACTTTGGTTCATAATAACGGAATCTTCTTGATTGTAGCCAGAGTAGCACATGATAGCAACAATGGCGTTTTGACCTGCGGGCAGTTCTCTGAACTTTAGGAACTCCATAGAACGTGTAGTGGCGAGAGGCTTTTGAGGATAGTATAAAATATTGGCCATAGTATCCATGCGAACATCAAAGTTAGTGAGGAAAACTCCCATAGCTTGTTTACCCATAGCAGATTGATAACAGTTACGAGGAGACTTTGTAGCAATAGAATTAGCCTTGAATGAATAAAATCATTGAACTTAAAGCTTACCTGATTGTGATCCGGGAAGGGAATAATGCTTGCGCAGATGCCCAAGATCATACTTGGATGAATTTCACAATGAGTCCAGACATGGGCAGTTGGATTGATAGGTGCCTTGACACGCTTGTTCAAATCACCACTTTCATCGGGACGAATTTGATAACCAGCCTGAAGTTGTCGAGAGATGTCCAGATCTTCAGGTGTCATGGTAATCATGACGGTCTCTTCTTCCTCGGCGTCCAGATACTCAACCACACCATCATTAATCAAACCTTGGAATCCATAGTATCCTTCCCTTAGTTTATCACCCTTATCCATGTTGGCTGGCATCGTCTGATCTTCCTCCAGACGGTGAATGTGGTCCTTATTCAATACCAAGTTACCTTTGTTGGTGCTGTCAGGATCATTGTCAATAACCAATAAAGGTCTGCACACTCGTCCTGCATCGGTGAAAATCTTGAACTCTCTGTCACGAATTTCCCGAATAAGTGAAACTTCATGAGAGATCAAGTGTGATCTACGAAGATCTTGGACACATTTGACCAAATGAGCAGGATCTCGATGAATACCAACCCAAACACCATTGACGAAAACCTTTGTTGCATTGGGTGCTCGGAGTGGTTCGTACTCCTCCAACACTTCCATGTTTCTTTGAATCATGAACTCGACGATTGGATCACTTGGCGTACCAACTGTAACGTAACACATCAAAGCCAAATTCTTAACCAAACCACAAGCTTGACCTTCGGGCGTCTCTGCAGGACAGACCAAGCCCCAATGAGTATTATGCAGTTGTCTAGGTTTGGCGATCTTTCCATCACGTCCGATAGGTGTATTGGTTCGGCGCAAATGAGAAAGCGTTGAAGCAAAAGTATATCTGTTCAACACTTGAGACACACCAGCGGTAGAACTTGCTGCCTTCTTCTGGTCACCCCAGTTACCTGTGGCCAAAGAATATTTCAGACCGTTCGTGATTGTTGTGGATTTCACACCCAAAGTTAAATTAAACTCTCGGTTGTTTTCCACGCAGCGTTGCAAGTATCTGTACACATCCGTTGTCAATCTACGGAACAGATTTCTGAACAACTTTGCAAGTAAAGGTCCAGCCAAATCCAAACGCTTCTTTCCGAAATGATCTCGATCATCAGTCTCCCGACGACCAAGAGCGCATTGAAGTAACTTATGAACCATGTAACCCAAGAAGAACGCTTTTCGGGTTTCACTACCTTCCTTTTGAGAGATATGAGGAAGCAGCTCCTTCTGCATGATGTCGCGTGCGTATTTGATACGCTTATCACGAGTCAAAGATGTACCGTTACCACGCTTTCCGATGAAATCGAGGGCAACTTCACGATCTTGGATGACGAAAGCTTCCTCAATACATGGCTTCAACATCTCGAGCATTTGAGTGTCATTTCGATCGTAACAAATGTGGTTCAAAATATCTTCATCAGATACAACACCAAGTGCGCGAAAGACGATGGCTATAGGGATGTCTGCTTTGATATATGGTAAAGTTGACTTGACAGTTTTACCAAAACCTCCTCGGTTGCTGTCACCTTTGTCGTATAGTTTGATTTGCAATGAAGAGATAAGACGCGAACCCTTCTCCAGAGCACTTCGAATTTCAGCCAAGTATGACACTGCACTGTTCGCTGGCTTCTTGAAGACTTGAACAATGTTGGCGGCACTACGCTCTTGGGCGATCAGAACCTTCTCACTTCCGTTGATAATGAAATATCCTCCTTGATCGTAAGGGCATTCGTTCCATCCATAGAGTTCGTCTTCGTCGAGACCCTTCAATATACAAAATTCCGACTTCAACATCATAGGCAATTTTCCGATATAAACTTGTTCTGGAAGTGGAGCACCTTTAGGGCCTTCTGGGTCACCATCCTCATATTCCCAGACCAATCGTGTAGGATGTTCTCCGCCATTCACCAACTCTGCTTCTTGTTCGTCATCAAGCTCGTTGAGAGGAACAGGGCGCTCTACAGCGACTTGAGTACTCTTCGTCATCTCTATGTAAAGAGGACTTGAATACGTAAGATTTCGCAAACGAGCTTCTTGTGGTAACATAACTTGTGTGCTTCCATCACCTTCGGTCATAGCCGGTCGAGAAAGCATGATGGTGCCGAACTTGATTTCATATCGACGGAGTGCGATAGGATTGTCGTGGGACGAAGGTGGATTGTTTTGGTCAAGCGTGAGTTGTGAATTCTCTTCGACAAGCTCTTGCATAGTGGTTTGGACGAATTCATCGAAAGAGTCGAGTTGCTGCGAAACTAGACCTTTTGCTTCGAAGAAGGAAGAAATAACCGTCCAGCAGTCCTCTGCCGTGATACCTGCATCCTCCTCTCCATAATCATCATATTCGTATCCCTCTTCGTAATCAGCCATGGTGTATTAATTTGAACTCTACTATCTGTATGCGAGTCGAGTTGAGGTCGGAAATTTGATGGAATGCGGAGTTGTAGTTAGAATTGTCGCAAAGGCAAAGTTGAGAGCTGTCGCCTCAAACAAAAGATTGGCGCGTCCCCAGGACCAAAAAGGACCTCAAGAACAAAGAAACAATGGCATAAAGATCATACAAAAATTATTTGAAGAAATTTTGAAACTGGCACGATGATAATAGTTTTGTTGATGTTGAGGCTCAAGTTTCAGAATTCAAGGTGAGATTAATGAAGGTACAGAAATAATTCGAGCTGGAGGAAGCCTTTCAAGTTGCCCAGAGCATACAAGCAAAAGTGTAAGCCGTAGAATTGCAAATCAAGCTTAGCTTTTTGAGACTAGCGTGGGGCTCGGACAAACTAATAGCCGAGCCGAAGAACACCCCTTTACATTATTCTCTTGCGAGCCTTTGAATACATTCACCACTTGTCCAGTGATTGCTCAAGAGGTTCCAGAACTGAACGTCTTATTCTCAAGAGCACTACAAGTTGATCTCTTTCAAATTTTATTCTTCAATCTTATTAGCTCTGTTGTTCTTCAATCTTAGAAGCTCTGTTCCTTGCACAGTCTCAATATCTAGGTATCTTGACATGATGGTGTTTGATATCTTGAGTTGTTGACCTCAAATGATGATGAGAAACGATCAATCTCGTTCATGATTTTCTAAAGTTCAGGATTGGGTTGAATTGTAGGAACAAGCTTGCTTAGTTATTGGAGCTTATTCAGTTGCTTGAACGTTTGATAGTTGTTGCAGTGTGGAGCCTTTGAGATTTATTGGACGGACTCTAGATTGACTTCTGGTGTTTATGACTAACCCTCTCCTCTTCCATACTTATTGTTTCATTGTTCTTTGTGTACATCTGTTATTCTTAAATTGAGATTATACAAAACTTCTTATTCGCATAGATACTGTTTGTCTCTTGCCTGTGTATCATTTCAATTATTCTTTATATACACTTATATACATTCATACATATTTATACATAACATCAAAATTGCTCATTGCTTCAACTCCTTTGCATGCTTCTCGTTCACCAAGACATAGCGGTAACGAGCTTTTCCATCATCCATATCGACAACAGCTTGGTTTGCCTCTGATAATGGTCTCTCCTGAATAAAAGGATGGATATTGTTTTTGGCAGCAAACTCCAACATCTCACTAATGTCTTTTGGTGTACCGATTGCACTACCTCCAAGCTTTACTCCCTTTCCAATGAAGGCGAACATATTCAAAGCTGGAATGACATCCTCTGGAGCTCCAACCTGAATGAATTCACCCTTGGTTTTTAGCAATGAAAGATATCCAGCGATTGGCATTTTTGGGCTAGAGACGGTGCAGACGATCAAGTCAAGAGATCTAGCGTTCTTCTTGGCCCAATTTTCGTCTTCGTCTGTAGCAATGAACTTGGTGGCACCCATCTTCTCTGCATCGGCTTTCTTTCCGCTTGATCGGGAGATTGCAACAACCTCTTTGCAGCCGAGACCCTTGGCCCATAGAAGACCAAAATGACCCAAGCCTCCGATACCAACTATTCCGACTCGCTTGTCAGGCCCAGCTCCGTTGTTAACAAGAGGTGACCAGGTTGTAACACCTCCGCACAACATAGGAGCTGCTTCGGCAAGAGAAAGTCCATCGGGAATCTTGACAACAAAATGCGATGGAGCACGGCAGTAATCTGCATAACCACCGTATGACTTGGAACCATCGGGATAAACTCCGTTATAAGTTCCAACCATTTTTGTGCAATGGTTCTCCATTCCACTTGCACATTCCTCGCACTCAGGCTTCAGACAAGCACTTGATTGTGCACCAACACCGCATCGATCACCAAGCTTGATGTGCTTTACGTTTTTCCCCACTTTCACAGCAGTACCAGCTAGCTCGTGTCCTACGCAAGCTGGGTAATTTGTCGCGCCCTATAGCCAAATCGTTATTCCTCACTTCCATATTCCAAGAAAAGAAGTACATACCCATCCAGATCTCAATGTATGAAGATCAGACCCACAGATACCGCAGTAGGCAATCTTGATATCGACATCATCCTCCGTCCAAGTCTTTGGCTCGAATTCTTGCCATACCATTTTCCCCTTAGCAGCCTCCTTATCTAACGCCATCCATCCTTCAAATTTATATGAAGATGCCATTGTTTTTGCTTTGTGTAAGTCGTCGGATGGATTCAAAGAGTCTTTTAAGTGATTTGTAAGAGAGAGTATTCTATCTGTAGCTACAGAAGCAGGACTCTTTGTGGGTGTAGACATGGTATGTATTTAATGATCTAATCCAGGTTACTGCGTCTTGGTATGATATGTGATGTATGTGATGTAGTGAACTCCACTTTTTTCCAAACTCTATTTCGGCCGAAGAATCCAACTCAAAGAATCAGGACGAAGTGAAGCTATTTTAAATCCGCAAAGGGCACCAATCAAGTATGGTTTTAGACAGCAAGTAAACAAAACTTTCTTTGGAGGAACACGAGAATCCTCAAACTAGTAAAAACGATGATGTCGATAGCGTTGCTAGCGAGGAATGGAGTTTAGCAATCCCCGCGCTATTTTGAATGGAGCTTTCCGTTTCGGACAATAGCCAGCGTCAGCTTTGTTGATAATCGGAGATAGAAGAGTCTAGATGTGAAAACAATCCGGAGATGTAAGGAAAGACAAGTTTCCGATGAAAAACATTATGCACTTCAGGTTTTATGAGATTTCGGGCAATAAGGAGGGATGGAATTGTTTACCGATGCCGAGGTCTCTTAGCTTGGAGATAATTGTGGATCTGTGGTTTGATATCGAAATCGACATCAGCCAATTGGATATAACTCTTGGACCCTTTGAACGATAAATAAAGGGTTTTGATCAATCAGTCCATATAAAAGCAAGAATTGACTTCCAATAATGCTATGATCGATTAGTTTAACTCGGATCGACAAATATCATTTGGAATACAATAAATGCCGTACTTATTGATCTGTCGAGCTCGAAAAGTAGAAAAATTATCTTTCGTCAATGGAAGCGAGTGTTTCCTGTTACACCGGCCTCCCCCAGCAGCTATTATCGATTTAAAAAGGTTCGGCTGATTGTAGAGCACATTCCTGACATCATTGATTGTCTAAATAGTCAATTGTGCTTTGCGGACATTCCGAGATAATTATTCATAGGGGATTCTCCCCGCATGCACGACCTGGTAGTTTTAGGTTTTTATGGACAGTCTTAAGTCCGTGTCTAGATTTCCAAGTGGAACATTGTTGAGGGAATTATATGTGATTCAATGGTTGTGTGCGCGGGAGCTATATTCGTCGCCTTGGTTAAACTTTTAGACTCTCCTGTGTATCCGATGTTGTCTGCAGCTTGCTAGAGAAAGGCTGCTGAATGGGAAGAACATTAAAAGAGAAGAACTAGTATTTCGTGTTAGCCATGAGTTCGTGTTCATAGTATCAAAGAAACAGCAAGTTAAAATTACCATTTCAATGTTTCTAATGTGGTTTTATACAAACCTCTGAATGCAACAGAAGATAAAACGCTGCTTTGCAGACAATATCCATCTCAAATATATCTGAATGTCAATCTATCTCGCTCAATGATATCGACAATACTCCGTCGTGTAACAATCACTACGACACCACCCATACCAAACCTCCGTCAAATGAAACTCGGCTTCCTTCGCCCAGCGATGTTACCCAAGTAGATTATCCCGATCCTCCTTAGCCTCATCTCTCCCTATCGGCCATTCATCCACATCTTTATCGATTATGTTCAACAGCTCCGCTGGCAATTTTCTTCCTAAATTCTCCTTCCTAAAGACTTAATATTAGCCCACCAATTATGTCTTTGCGGCGGCACGTTTTGGGTCGAACAAATTCGATTATAAGTTTGATAAATTTCGCATTTCCCGGTTCTGTAAGACTACTTCTCGTACACGGTTCGAATTTGTATTGCAACGCATTGGACCAACTCAATAACCGACCTTCCTTCACAGCTATTGAGCCCAAATCCTGAGTAGCAGGAGCAAAATGAAAACCCTCATCGTCATGATACCCATCTTCCTTAATACCAAAAGTCTTCGCAAAAAGATCATCTTCTGAACGATGGTATGCTGATTCACTAAAATCAGTTTTCTGTCGAAAAGAAATTTGCATATCCGCTCTGTACATCTTAGGAATTTAAAGATGTGGCAGCAATACGTTCACTCTGTGTTCCATCAATATCCCAAGCAGTTCCTGAAAATAATTCATTATCATGCAATTCGATACTTCGAACTTGCACGAAGACTTGCAGTGGACGACTCCTTCGTTAGCGTTTTAGATACTGCAACATCAGATATGAAAACACAAGCTCCGGCATCCAAAGCAAGAACACGATTTGTAGCACGAAACAACCTTGCCTTGTCTCTCAACTCAGCTAAACACCACTCCCAAGCTTTCTCACTTAACATTTTTTTTCACGGTCATTTTGTGCCTTATTGCCGCTTCTCTGTGGTTGAAAACACCTATGTGCCAGTTAGGCATATCGGTCAAGAAATTGGTGAGACCTATCATGGCCAGCTCTCGAGCTGTCAGACGAGGCTTCTGTACCCACCCTCCTTCCCAATCATCTGATCCTTGGTGAAATCGCGAACTTTTGGGTAGTTTGCTGAATAAAGATATATCACCACATCCGGGAATCTTTAAAGGACCTTGTCCGCTATTATCCATGGTGAACTCACGAATGTGATTACTTTCATTCATTGTTGTTGCTCTAATACCGTGTTTTAATAACCAATGCTGTGATCGCAGAAAAGAAGGATAGATAATGAGGGAATAAAAAGTAGAATTTGCTTTGGACATCATTTATCTTGCATCGACGGGTTTTCTCTCATTTAAACTATTATATCAGCCTGGATGACTGACTTATCGGGGGAGATTGGAGTCTAGAAATTGATACTGTATGATAGGTCATTACCACTCTATGCTGACAGTGTGGGATCAGCAACTAGGGGTATTGGTATAAGGAATTTGCATAAAAGAATATATTCGCAGATATGTACAGAAGGGGCTTTGAATCTTCGCAAATTCCCAGATAGTAAAGTAATTACTTCATGTCCCATTTCCAGATGTGCAATCGATCATTACAAAACATGCTTTTGGCCAACACGTCAACGGCCAGGAAGATAAGAGAAGCTTGAACCTCTGACATGGTCCCACAATCGCAAATGTCGTTATGGAACCTAGATGTTTCCCATTCGATCTCATCGAAGCGAAAGATATGGATGTCTTAAGAAGCGCCCCAACTTGAACATCCATAGTTCAAACTTCCGCATATCGAAAACTGCTTCAATTGCAGGCTCTTCCTCTAGTGATGGCCTTCGAATGTTAAATGGCAGCGTTGCGTTCTTATTGTAAGGGTTAACAGCACGTTCCAATGCCCATGGCAAATCCACCTGGAAATTCTCAACATTCTCGATCCACGCCAAAGGGTACAGGAGGGACATCTCCAAACGGCGACCTGTAACATCATAGAAGGTGACATGTAAATCCTTCAACCCTTTCGTTCTTGAGAGTACGTCGCCAATGTAAACCAAATGTTTAGCTTGCCATCTTGCAAGTTCTTGATCTTTCTCTTGTTGCCTTTTGAAGGCGGGAGAGTCCTTGGGCTCGTAGTGAAAACATGTGTAAATCGGATGCTCTATTTTGTGGGAAATGCGGAGAGATCGAATTTGATTAAGTTGCTCCTGTGGAACCTCTGTCAGGAAGCGAGTCGCGCATTGAAGCCCAATCAGATCAAAAGTTGCAAAGGTGTAAATAACATCAATGAATTCAGCATTTCTAGACACTCTTGTCATTAGCCAAACTATCCTACCAGTTCACGATATCGGCATATTACTTACATATACTTGCAACTCAATAGAAGCGAAATCAGATTCCATGGTTTAGGCGCCGATTTCCTCCATGATTGATATACCGCTCTCACTATCCCCGTTTGATCACTGGAGCCACCTACTCCCCAGCTAAAAGACTCTATGCACTTTGTGTGTGCAGATTCCCAGCCGCCCCAATGTTCAAGACCAACATGGCCTTTTGGTCCAGCAATACAAGGCTGAAGTACTTGCTTAAAATGCTTTGGATTCTGTCTCCCTGGTCGTACATCTGTCACTGCGATGTGCAAAATTGGCCCGAGATCCAGGATTAGTTGCTCGTAAATTGATCTACGAATGTCGAAGCATAGCTTGGAAAGGAAACTACCTGGAAGCTGTTGATTCGGTTTGGAGGATTCGGGAGATTCAACCATATTGGAAGTATGAGGCCTTGCAATACTCTCTTTTCAAAACCCGATGATGTTGGCTAATTAATAAGTAGGAGATGAAAAAAGAGGAGTAGCATAGTCAGCAGGATTTCAGGAAATCGGTTGTTAGGTGATCTCCCATATCGAAAGTTTCGAATAATTCACTATGGCTAGATACTTAGCCTAGTCGCCAACCTCATTCCGCATGTATCCGGCCGAAAAAGACCTCACGACTACTAGGAGCGGAGATATATTTTTTCAATCCATACTAGAGATATAAAGTAAAAGCAATCGTAAAATCCGAATACAGAAAGCTCCATCAGTCTAAGAAACTTGAGAGAAAGACACCATCCATACCAGAAGATATGAAAGACTTGCGCGTAGGTAGCGGTAGCAGCAGTCACAGAACTCAGAAAAGATCCCACAAGTGTGGATGCGAATGCAATTACCGAGAATTCCACTGCACGAAACTTCTCGATACTGAATTAGTCGGAGTCTTGGAGACTTGGAACAAACTATATCAACAAAACAACAGATTCAAGACGAGGAGGGATTCAAACATCGTCAATCACTCTGATAACGAGACCGAAAAAGTGTTGCAAAGCTTCAAGACGAGTTATATATCTACACGTATAGGATACCTCCCTATATAAGAAATCGAGAATTCTTCCGCAGACTACAATTGGCTAGAATATTGTGACCCCCTATTTGCACACAAATCAAGCCCTAGTGCTATCTCGAGATGAGTTCCCAAAATCGACCTACCGACAGCAACATGTACAGGCTTTCCTCCTGTCTTCAAAGCCTCAAGCACAAGATCAATGCGATCAAGATCCGTATCTGCATACAAACATTAACCACCAAATGTGATATCGTTCGATAAAAGCACCAACCTGGACAAGACACAACCAAAACGCTAATCAGAAGCGGTTCCTCTCGCTGTATTGTTTGTGAAGAATATGTGATTTCACCAACTAAATAACAATAAAAATCTACAATTATTAAACCCTAATATATATTACTTACTCGGAGCAGTAACCTCAGGAGTACCAGCGATTGGCGATAGATAGAGAGGAGGATAACCACTTAATAGTGTGAAGGGACTGAGCGCCATTAGATCAGAGACCAAAACAACAATCTATACGAGGGAGCTTACGGTGGTGGATTCTCTCGGTTACTGGGTTTGCCTTTGTCAATAGGGAGAACTACTATAGTTCCATCTTTGAACACGTTGGCGAGAAGCCACCTCCTGTATGTATAGATGCGCTCCCATCCTTCGTCGCGTGTCTCTGGCGTGGTCTTATTGGCTTGTTCCCTGATTTCTACATCATGCACAGTCGTGTATATGGGGATAGAGATCATATAAAAGTAAAAGTATGAGTGCATACCATCTTCAGCGCAAAGCCTGATGAAAGAACGGCGTCTTATAAAATTTCTTCTTGTACCCTTCGACGAACTCGTCTAGTTTCGCACATGCGTCCTTGTAATACGGTAGTGTTCCAGCCTGATCAGATCAGTATAGTACATAGAACTTATAACATGCAGCTCACAGTTTCCAGATAGTCAGAGAGTTCTATGTTTGCGTCAGATTGTGGAGGACTATTGCGCCACATTTCCGCCAAAGATATTTCGGGTTTGCTAACACCAAGAAGTCCCTCGAGATCCCGTACAAACGAATCCATAAAGTCCATTTGAGCTTTCTTCGAGGTGGGAAGATAGTCGAGGGGATAAAGAATCGTAGTCGTAGCTTAAAGCGGTTACCACCCTCCTCAAGAAACCACATCCAACTCATCTCATCTCATATACCTTATCTTATCCAACTCATCTCATCGCTACCCCAAACCAGCCCTCCCCCCTCTGTAAACCACCAACTCCCATCAACCCTTATCAACCCTCACTCACCAATCGATCAACAATTACACAATTCATATCACAACATAAATTCTCCAATTCCCAATCTCCCAATCTCCCAATTCCCAATCTCCCTACTCCCCCTACTCCCCCTAACCCACATACACATAACCCACACACAGACAATACATCCGCAGAGAGAAATTTCCTTCAAATCGAATTCAACAATGCAGGCACTCGCGCCAGGAGGATAAAACGAGTCAACTTACTAGCGAGTTAACTTATTAGCGCGTGCAAACTTACACTAAACCGACTAGGAAATAGTAACTACCAAACAACTTTCCTTAGGTATTGTAAGGTTACATTCCCGAGACTTTATGTAATTGAGAAAAAAAAGGGGGAAAAAAAAGGAAAAAGAGACTTCTCACTTATCGGACATGACTACCAAGTGATAACTTCCTGGCCCCTTCCCTTAACATTGACGTCACCATGTAAACCTTAAAAGGAGCCGTCATGATAAAATCATAATTGCGAAGAAGAAAAAATATCGAAGAGAATACAAATAGAAATGAGAAATAATATTGAAAAAGGTAAAATCATAATCAGGAATTAAAGATATAATACTAGCACATTATTCTTTGAATAGAGATCATGTACTCACGCAAAGTTCCAAAGCCGCAATACATCATTCACAGGGGTCAAGGCCAACTAGCAAGGCCAAAACGACAAGACAGAAACATTCAGCAAAAATTCAAAATGCTAAATTGTAAAAAAGCGGATATGTAATTTGATTCAAAAACTATATAACAAATCGACCCTATCTCTCCCATGAAAGATAACCTCAACTATATTACCACCCATACACCTAAAGCCAGCCACCCCTTTAATTGCATCAAACCCATCGAAACTCCCAATAGCCACTAGGAAATAGAGATAGATGGACTTGAAAACACAATTGATGGAATGGAAGCGAAGATGTTAAATATGCTAATTCCTTACGCCCGCTAAAACCCATAATATAAACGAAGAGAATTGGTATGTTGAGCGGGTGAATAGAGGTGATCGCAACCCGAGATGTATTGTCGCTGGTGGCTAAAAGCGACTTTGGGGAAACCTAGATTACTAACATGGATTCCATGTAAAGTAGAGTTCGATGGTCGAGATGACGATCGAGCAGGTATGTCTCTTGTCCCTCCGTACGTAATCTCGGGCGGGGTGCGTTTCTCGGGAGAGAATGAGGTGCCTAGATACCCTTGATGACTTGGGTTCGCTCGGCATTTAGTTGAGCTGCATTTCGGTCATGACATTCCTTCTTGCACTGTAATGAAATGAGTCAGCCCACAATTCTATCTTCGCACATGATTTCTGAAAGCACATCTCCTAATCCAACTTGCCACCATTGAATCTGTTCTCCCATTCTAGGTTCATGAAATACCCCTTTGAGAACAGATTCCCCGGTTCTAGATTCAAGAGATACATCATCGGAAGTAGGGCAACTCACGTCTTCTAATTTCACACACTTGTGATCCTCCAACATTCTGTGCTTCCCACAGAATTCACCTTCACAGAATCCACAGTGTCCTACAATTCTTTGTGCTGCCACCCCGCAGTCCTTGTAATTACACTTAATCTTCTTGGGTGGCATACCGCCTCTTAGTGTCCCTGCAACGTGGATTGTCGAGTCTCGAGTAATGTTATTCGAGGTGAGAGTCGAAGATGGCTGTAGATGTCTTCCAGCGTGGACGAGACGAAGTGATGACGATGGCGAGGATGTGCGGATAGAGAGGAGATGGGCGAGGTTCGAGATGGTGGTATCTTCGGGAACGGTTATGGGTATAGCTAAATAGCGAGTTAGTTGGGAACTTTAAAAATGAATGGATTTGGGAATAAACATACTGTCGCCGGACAAGACTTTAACAAAGATTTGCATTGATTCCGATTGTAGTTCTGGAGAGGCGGACCTGGATGAAGTGGCGCTTGAAGGAGTATACATGATGGATGATTTGATGGTATGTATGTTGATTGAAGAGGACTCAGATATTATCAATGAGATTAATGAGGAAATGAAAGAGTTGTGATGATTGATGAATGGAGAAAGGGAATTGTTGAATGAAATTGGAAAATGATTAAGAAAAGAAGATTCGTTGTCTTGGTTGTATTCGTTGTACTTGTATTCGTAAGAAGAAAGTAATCGAAGGTTCTTGGTGACAATGCGATTGGGTGTCTTGTGACGAGGACCGGAGACGAGAACGTAATCTGCCGTAAGTATTGGTACTGGTGACTGTGACTGTGACTGGGAGTGTACTAAAAAGTCTTATCTGGAGGCGGGAGTCGAGGCGGTATCGGGTTATTGGGGTTTGATTTCGATAGTCGGATTATCCTTTAATGCAACTGTTTGTTGTCGACTTCTCATTCCTTGATGGGGGATGAAAGGAGACGGATTTGTTTCGTTGGTTTGTGAGTTGTGATGAAGTGGTATGGAATGTGATGATTGAGGGGGAATAATGAAAGGTGTTGGATGGAATATATGTATATATATATGTATATATGTAGATACGATATACTATATACTATATATATATATCAATACGATTATAAATATATAACAAATACAATAAATACAATAAATACCTTACACATGACTGTGAACTAACAAGACTGGGCTTGGCTCCATTCAGAGTTCAATGTACGAAGCCAGGTATGTACGATGAACGTACATCGTATGCCATCATCTCATATCACACATATCATTTCACTTGACTGACTTGACGCATGGATGGATAATTAGTCTGATTCATAATTCAACACCCTCGTGAATCTAACCATCATCTAAAGAGTCCCCTAGATCCACCTTTCCGTGATTGAAAGCATGTACTAGCGAGTGACTAGCCGAGCTAGCCTTATAAAGCACTAGCCTTCATACTAAAGACACACATTAACCTTTTACTTCCGCACTCTCCATGTACGACCAAGTCTCCTTGACTCCTCTCTCTCTGTCTTTCTCCACTCCCATGAATTCGCCTCACTTCCTCTCCATAAAGTCAAATAGCTCAAGGAAATACCTTGACATGGAAAGATTGATATATATCAATACATCATGCTTGCATCCTCATATCATTATCCGGTCTAGATTATTCTTCATACACTCTTTATCTGGAACCTATTAATCACTCATACGGATTCTAATAATGACTTTAAATTACAGTACCGATCATCATATATTGGTGGTTGGCACAAGATGATCATCTCTCATACTACCGGCAGAGCATCTCAGAGAAAGTTCATGGCGTAGAACTGAATCGCCAATTCCATCTATCAAGCATTGGTAGAGAAGCCGGATTACGGCACATGATTGGACAAAAAGACCAGATTCCAGAAAATGCCTTGCTTATTGTATCGAATTCCGAATTAGCTATTATTGATTACATACATGCTCTCTCTCGTATATACCGTACTATATTACCATCGACTGCTCCTCCTCGTACCATCCATCCATCTATCTAACCAAGCGATGTCAAGCCTCGGGAAAGTATTGTTACGGTATTTCTTGACATATCCATGGATGTTGGTACCCTTTTCCAAAAAGAGGCCCTAAACCCCGAAGTGAAGGTTACCAGGAAAAGCGATCCCGCCTTATCTCTCATCAATGGCATCACACTACTGGGGACTTCGTATAATCTACCTCGAGCTCTCTACCAAATATCTCGCAACTTCTGAGTCTTCTGAGTACCGGTGTGATTAGACCAAAGAACCAAAGAACATCTGTTCTCCTCTCTCATATCCTCGACTCAGCTACATTCGAAACATGGCTCCTAGGATGAAGCAATTCAGAAACAACCTTTAACTATCTGATGCTTGAAATCACGAACATTTCTCCTTGACACGACTGAGTGGATTATGGACCATTCAGCCACCCTGACTCATGCCACCACGCTACGAGGCCATTTACTCCATGCGCCACTAGCCACCACACCAAAGATGTAGCCACAAGTGTTCGATTGTTCGATTTTTCGATTAGCATTTTCTTAGCTTGTATGCCAAACGGAGTATATCGGCGTTGAATCGCCATTGACCCTGTGGAGTACATCAAACTTTATTCTCTACAGTCAAAATCGTATACTTTTGCCACATACATCATATGTTTGATAATCAACCAACTTTGATTCAAATTTTTCAAAGATTTGACAAGATCATTCACGATAGTTCCAAAATCCTACAATCCTCTACCGGCACTCCATACCCAAGGCATCCTGACTCACTACCCATGAAATGTATTTCTCCGTTTCGATCAACCTGCATACAACCTGCGTTACCCAATCCCTTTGATTCGATCGGCAACAGCGGCATCAAACCGTCCACGATTTCCTTTACCGATTTTCTTCATGCATGCGCCATCTGCACCGCTATAGTATCCGAAGAACCGCAATATGCGCCTCGAATCCGTCGACATCTGTACAGTTATTCGAACCATGCATCGTCAAACAGAACCCGAATCGCTAATCTAATATCTACATCTAGATACATTAGCTTAACAGATACGTAGAGAGCTAATACCAAGACCTTCAGATATGCAACAAAGTGACAAATACAAGCGAGTTTTGCCATCTTCTTCTCCAGCTTCCCCGGAAAAATCTGGATGACCTAAGATTATTATTACTCTGGACACATAAACAAGCCTCGATGAAAGCATGAATAACATCCCAAGATCAAACACCTACATCTCAACACTCTCCAATCTCCCAATCTAGACCACAGACTCATCTCACACCCCCCTATTCCTCAATTCTTAACTCTTACACAATATCCCTCCCACCCAGAGCAGACAAACCAGGCCAAAATT